GTCAGCACAGGGCAAAGTAGTATTACGTAAATGAAAGTTAGTATCAGCAATTTCTTATGCTGAAATGTACGATGTGTTGCATACCTATTTACAAACAATTCCTTTAAATTTTAATCATCGATTACTATACATCTATTAAAAAACCATGATGGCCGACATCAGTAACAATGCGACAACAATTGAAAAACATGATGGCCGACAACAGCAACAATCAGAAAAGAATGATGGCCGACAACAGCAACAATTAGAAAAGAATGATGGCCGACACTACGTCATAGTATTGTTTACAAAAAGTGAATTGAATGAAAAAATAGGGGGGAAGAATCGCGATATGTAAACATAATATTGTTACCTTAAGCTTGTTGTTCGACGTTCGATGTACGATTCGATAAAACATTTATAGTTTGACGTTTGACAGTTGCCAAAACAAAACTTAACCAAGCAATAATGAACGTTACAATCGAGAAAACAAAATACGAGTGTGCCTCCTTGCCAAAACGATGGCAAAGGGAAGATATATTAAAAAAACAGGGACTTTCTGTTAGTAAAGTGGAGCCAGTGTATTATAACAGGACCGTTCGTAATGATGCCTCGTTGGTGCCCCCGATTCGGCAGACAGCGTCCATTTTTAAACAGCCGGTCACAGTTTACAAAACACAAGAGAGCAAAGTGAAAACTGACCTTAAACATGGCATTCAAGAGAAACCTAAGCAATTAATATGGGAGAAAAGACTGGAAGGTCTCAGAGCTTGCGATTTGGACGGTACGGAGTTTGAGGTTATGGAACTGCCGAAGGGACTGAAGCCCGTTGGCCCCCACGTAAACGAAGACACCATTATACAGAGTGTTGCGACTGCTCTGCACGTCTCTACACAACCAGTGACAGGTCAGTGTGCTTCAAGGAGTTCGCTGGATAAGAACCCTGGAGTATTCCTGGACCCAAAGCAACCTCTCGTACAAGCTGTCAGTATACAGGACGAGGACATCAAAAGGCAAGAAGAAAGGGTTGCTGCAGCCCGACGAAGACTCCAAGAAGCCTTAAAAGACTTTTGAACATGGTGAGGCAATTAATTATTTTTTTATAAGGACTATTCAGGATTAAATTGAATTTTGTGTGCTTTTTTTTATAAAATGAAGTAAATAAATGACTTTCGTTCAAAATAAACAAATAAAAGTAGCATTTTTTTTTTTATTATTGAACCGCCGCCTCTGATGGCCTCGTGAAGGTCGTTGTTTTTCGTAAATAATCGGGTATGCCTTGACTTCATTGATGTTACCGCTTGCTAACTGACGTAATTGATAAAATGACGTAATAAATGAATAACATGGCAAGCACACATACATCTCCCGATGACGATGGCTATAAATGTATTGTCGATAACACCCGTAATGTTACGTACGGATCAAGTGATAACCGTAAGTTTTAGTACACAAATAGAGCTATCGCACTTTTATTAATTCGCCAGATTTTTTCCTGTCCCATCCTCTCTTATCTGGTGATTAAGCACTTCATAAAATCGAAAGTTGTCGTCAGCACAGCTACGCAAGTCGAACAAAAGAATATTTTGAATAGACGCGCCAGTTTTGTATTTTTACCTTTTTCCTTTTGTTTTTAAAATGGACATTTGTTTTGTATGAAACAAATGAGCGCATTCTTTTTTCATTTATTGGACGTTTGTTTTACGTAGCTCATTCTGTTTTTTAATTATTATTTGCTTAATACATATCAATTGACCTCTTATAAAGGTGACTAAATAATTTCCAAAAACAAATATGCACATTTGTAGTTTATTTTTTAATTCAAATAAAGATAAGGAGATAAACCACAAAGATAAGTAACGAGATGCGTCAAAATAGTTAACAAGAATCTATTTTAATCATAATGTATAAAGAAATAGACCTAAGATAACAAAAAAGGTAATTTAATCTGTTTTTTATAAAGTTTTATCGTCAAATCAAGTTTAAAAAACGGTAAGTAGTTATAAATAAATGAATTAATTAATTAACCGCAATTTGATATGTATAATTTTTTTAAAAGACCCCGAAATGGAAGAAATGGGGAGCTGTTCCAGTCTTAACAGACAGGACCCATATGAGAGAAGTTTGGGGGAAGACCACTGGGAAATGAACTACCATGAAGCTGCGATATATTTAGAAGTAAGTTTAATGAATTTCAAATTTTACAATTTTCACTTCATATTTTTTTTTTATTAATCTTAGGAGGGTAGAAACAACGAAAAATTCGACTCCCATCCAAGTCACCCCAGTGACTTGCCAGCCTATTTATTAGTCCACAACTCATGGTATTATGGTTTTGATCTCTTTTTCTCTTTAATTTTACTACTTTTGGCCCTTTTTGAAGAGCCCACCACCGATCATTTAAAGGTAAATAAACAATGGCGTAAAAAAATGGGTTGAAATAAATAAAAAACAATAATGCAACAAAAATTGTTGATGTTCTATTGTTTTCTAGTTACCAGTCGGAATCCATGGTACCCTAGAATTGGTCGCCCTCACGGTAATTGGGGCCGAACTAGCATTAAAGTTACGATGGATTGGTTGGAGTGCAATCCTCAAACATAAGCGCACCATGATCAAAGTAATAAAACAAAAGCATTTTTCTTATTTGTTTTTCTGTTTTCTTTGTTTTGTTTTTACTTTTGTTTCTTTATTTCCTTTGTTTTTTTTTTTTTTTCTAGGGTTGTACGCTTGTTATAATGGTCGTAGAAGCGCTGGTGGTCCTTATTCGTCAATCGTCTCATTTCCGGGTGACAAGAGCGCTACGTCCTATATTTTTAGTAGACACGAGGGCCATGGGGGGCGTTAGACGTTTCATAAGGCAAATACTCCAGTCGTTACCCCCCATTCTTGACATGATGGCCCTCTTACTATTTCTGGTCTGCAGTTACACCCTTCTGGGCTATTTCCTCTTCTCTAAGCAGCCAAACAGCATGTATTTCAAGACTTTACAAGACAGTTTCGTCAGCATGTTCGTCCTCTTAACAACCGCTAAGTAACTGCAATATTGAAACACGTTTTGTGTTCTTTCACTTAACGTAATTTGTCTTTCAGTTTTCCCGACGTAATGATGCCAGCCTATGCTGTTTCTAAATGGTACGCGGCGTTCTTTATCTCTTACATTTCAATGGTTCTGTACGTTTTAATGAACTTGGTGAGAAGCTGTTTTGTTTTTTTGTAAACTATAAACAAGAAGAGNTTTGTTTTTAATTTTGTTAAAACAAAATAGGTATTCCAATTTTTTTTTTTTGTGATTGTCTTTTTTATTGTATTTACAGAAACACGACGGTGGAGGATTACTACAAATACAGTACCAACACGACCAGTGCTCTTGGTTATTATTATTTAAACAATTTCAAGGATTTATTAACAACTGGAGTGACCCTGTTCGAACTGACCGTTGTTAATAACTGGTTTATTGTAATGGAGGCTTATTCGATAGTCCTCCATCCGTCTTCGCGACTTTATTTTATGTTGTTTTATTTATTTACCATGGTCGTATTAACTATCGTTGTGGCCTCTGTATTGGAAGCCTTTCGTTTCCGGATTCAATACAAAAAGCAGACGAGTAAAAAAGACGGTGAGTAAAACAAAAGAAATAAAACAAGTTGTAATCACATCATTTTGTTTTTATTTTACTCGTTTTTTATATAGAGGAACGAATGTTAGTTGAAGAAGTGATCATCGATTGGAATACTTTGCAAAATTTGGTCCAAGATCCGGTACTTTTAGACAAACTCAGGGACTCCTTTGTTCCAGGGGTATGATAATTTCTGTTTGTGTTTTATAATATTATATTCCTATATTTTCGCTGTACAGGGTGTTTCGTATTACGTGGGTCGTCGTCAGCGTACCAGAGACGTATTACAACACCGAATGTACGCCTCTGAAATAGACAATTGGATCAGAGAAACCTCTGTAAGTAACTCTTTCGAACTCGTGATGGCAGATGAGGGAGGAGACCCTACTAATCCACACAATGATCGACTAATCTAATCCCAGACATTAAGTAGGTATTTTCTTTTAATTTTTTGAACCTCAATAAAGCGTAAACAAAAAAATGTCGAATAAAACAAAAGAAAATAGTTTTATTCACTCGAAACAAATGGTTATTCAATTGTTTTGCCAATTGTAGTATTTGTTTTGATTGTTAGATAAGTGTTTTGTTTTTACCAAAGCTACAGTTTTAAATGGTATTTTGTTTTTGTGATACTGTCCAATTTTTTACTATCCACTGTACATTTGTACAGTTACATTGCAGAACAGACTGAAGGAAAAAAATAATTTACGTAATTTTTATGAGCATTTACCCAAACTTATTTTATTATTGATACTGATTTATAAATAAATATGCTACATAGAAGTATACGTAGAAAAAGAACGTATTGTTAACCCTGTAAATATTTTTGTTGAGTTTTCGTTTTATTTAATCGAAATTATTAGATAAAAGTCGTAGAG